TCTCATAATATTTGAATTCTTGGGTCACATCCACTGAAGCTCAAAGGATGGAACTACTTCACACAATCCACAGAATTCACGACTGCAAGATACAGAAATGGCTAGCCCCTGGACAGTTTTAAAGGGGGATTAGTTTAATTCATCCATCTAGAAACATCTGTGACTACCAGCAAGAACGCAATGTATGATTTCCAGTATAAGAAGGAATATGACTATGGATATCAGTAAGTTGGGAATGCAAGATGGAGGGTACAGTTGCATTTATATTTTGCTGGAGGGCTACCCATAGGGATCTGATTGATCAGTGTCTAAACAGAATATTGCACTAGACAGGCCTTTGTTGGGCTGAAATACTCTAAAGGCACCAGATCCCATCATATCTCAGAAGGTGAGTAGGGTCAGCTTTGTTTAGTACTTGGATGGGAAACCATCAATGAATACACTGGTTTCTTCATCAGGCACACAGGAGAAAAGAATGGAAATTTCAGCCACTTACCACATACAGTGGTTTGTTGCTGTCGTTTTAACAGACAACAGAGCTGGGACCAAAATCAAAAACAAAAAGCACCTGTTCCAACAGACCTACTGAATTTTACTACTGGAAATACCCTTTTTTCCCAATCAAGGTAATACCATGGGATTTAATAAATATCCCATGCCATTTTTGGGTGAACCATGGTGGAACAGAGGTTGGTGTTTCTGCCCATCTTGTTATTTACTCTCAAGCCATCTCAGACTTATGATGACCCTATGGTGAACTTATCATAGGATTTTCTTGGTAGAATTTGTTCAGAGAGCATTTGCTACCATTGTCTTCCTCTGAGGCTGAGAGTGTGTGATTTGCCCAAGATCCCCCTGTTGGTTTCTGTGGTTGAGTGAGGAATTGAGCTCTGGTCTTCCAGTGTCCTAGTCCAACACTTAAACCACTACACCATGCAGGCTCTCTTTATCTTGGCTATTTCCCTTTAACATTTGACACTACTAGATTGGCTGTATGCAGCAGGGCCACTGAGCCTCTTTTCACTCCCATAATTTTGGAGTGAGCCATCCTTCCCTGTTTGATCCACATCGGTCTTGACCCAAGGTGACCCTGCTGCTGATGAGACATCTCCACGACTTCCTGTCTTCTACTGCTCTACCCAGCTCCTGCAAACTCATAATCTCTTTAACAGAGTCCATCCATCTAGCATGTGGTCTTCCTCTCTTTCTACTTCCTTCTACCTTTCCCACCATTATTGTTTTTTTCCAATGAGCCATACCTTCTCATGATGTGGCCAAAGTACGACAGCCTTAGTTTTGTCATCTTGGCATCCAGGGAGATTTCTGGCTTGATCTGCTTTAGGACCTATTTATTTCTCATACTTTGGCCACATCATGAGAAGAAATAGAATCAGAATCATAGAGTTGGAAGAGACCACAAGGGTCATCCAGTCCATACAGGAAATCACAAAGCACCCCAGAGAAATGGCCATCCAGCCTCTGTTTAAAGACTTCCAAAGAAGGAGACTCCACCACTCATTAGACTCATTAGAAAATTAGAAATGACTCATTAGAAGAGACAATAACGCTAGGAAAGGTATAAACTAGCAGAAAGAGAGGAAGACCACATGTCAGATGACTAGATTCAATCAGGGAGGTCATGGGCCTTAATTTGCAGGACCTAAGCAGAGCAGTGATGGATAGGGGGTCTTGGAGATATCTCATACACAGGGTTGCCATGAGTAGGGGTTGACTCAAGGGCAGTTAGCAAGAAAATTTAATTCCTTTTTAACTTTTGTAAATTAATGTTTTAGCAACATCTTTGTTGGATTATTATAAACTGCCATGAATCCCATTTTTGGGAGAAAGGTGGGATAGAATTTCAATAAATAAATAAATAAATAAATACGGTAAATATACTGCTATGCATATAAGTGCTGTGCATATGTTCTCCTTCTCCACTCCATATAAGCCAATTTCCTTCCACACTTTCACTGTAGCTGGCTGTTACTTTTAAATTAGGTTATTTACCAAAAATGCAGGGCTATATTTCAGGATCAGATATCCATCCCCTTCTATCCTGCTGATCTGCTGTACAATGGTAAATGCAACAAATATGCAATTAAGCCCCACCAAAGAAGAGAAATATACTGGAACACTGCACTAATGTAATAGTGACTCTGATCCTTAGACCAAACCAAAATCACAGCTATTGTTAATCACAGCAATCAGTTTCAGTCTGTGCAAAACAAAGTAGTGCACTTGCAGATAACAGTTGCTATGCATCAGCCATGGAGAGCAAGGGGGAGGCAATGATGGGATACAGGTAAAGATGCCAACTACCTAGTGGGGAAAAAAGGAGAGAGAAGTTTTTATTATTTCTGAGCCTGAACAGCCATTTGGCCTGCAATAACTAAACACTGTCATTGTATTTTCATCATGCCAGGGAGGAAAGAATCATCAGTTGAGCTATGCAAACCAAATGGTTATTTAAAAACACAGATAGGTCCATTTCCAAAGCAAGAAACCCTGGATTGCAGGTCTTTCAATGTTGTTCCTATGCAAAGGTGTCTATAGCCTGCACAATGATATCCGTTTTTCTGAAAAACAGAATTGGATTTTTCCCCGCCCAGAAAATTTCCTATGTAATTAAAATGTGTGGTTTAAATGTTACAGTCAAGCATGTTAAAAGCTTTATGTGGACATTACTGGAATATTTGTAATAATGTAATGCGAAGAACATTGATCCAGTGTGGCATAGTGGTTTGAGTGTTGGACTACAACTCTGGAGACCAGGGTTTGAATCCTGGTTTGGTCATGGACCCACTGGGTGACCTTGGACACACTCTCTCAGCATAAGAGGAAAGCAAACCCCCTCTGAATAAATTCTGTCCAAAGAACCCTGTGATAGGTTCACCTTAGGGTTGCTATAAGTTGGAAACAACTTGAAGGCACACAACAACAACAATAACAAATAGAATAGCATATACCTCCCTGGCATTTACCAGAAAAATGAAAAAATAATAATAATGAAAAGGCCACATACCAAAATTAAGCTGTACCTGGGATGTTATCACACGGGGAGTTGTGGGGAAAAAGTGGAAATAAACGGGACAAGTGGAAGACTAATTTACGGGATTTGTCCCGTTCCGCCTCGTCTGATAACTAAATTCGAATTTAAAAGGGGGTTAATTCGAACGAAAACCTGATCTTTTCAAATCCTCAAAAATCCCGAAAATGAAAAGATCAGGTTTTCGTTCGAATTAACCCCCTTTTAAATTCAAATTTAGTTATCAGACGAGGCGGAACGGGACAAATCCCGTAAATTAAAGACTTCCGCTCGTGCCCGTTTATTTCCACTTTCTCCCTGCGACTCCCCATGTGATAACGTCCTATGTTATATCAACAGTTTAATTTTCTTTTGCTTTGGGATAATTGTAATGCCTTCAGCCTCACTCATTCACTCTGCATTACTTATCAGTTCCATTTCAAGCTGAGAAAAATCTGATTCGGCACAACCAGTCAAACATCCTAGCTCCAAGCCTGCCCTAATCTTTAGGGGTTGGATTCAGATTTAGAAATAGTTGGAGTAAACCCTATGATTTCTAGAGATCTACTCTAAATATGACAAAATTTGATTCAATTGCTTTTCAAAAAGTGCTATTAGGTATAGGAGGAATCAGTTAGTATTAGTTAAAAACTTTCAGTACTAAACCGTGGTGGGTTTTTTTGAAGCCAAAATGCTTAGATTTTTGCAGATGGAAAGGAAAAACATTTGCTACACATCACCCAGTAATGAATTTTGCTCCTATGTGTAAGGCAGAGTCTTTTAAAAATAGGCAGGAGGTGGGGTGGACCAATTCATAGAGGGATTTGAGATGACTCGGCCTGCCTCTTTCCCTTGTTACAGCATTATTAGATGACTACAGATGTGTAAGCATCCTGGAACTCTACCAGCATCAGTAATGTACCAGAAAAAGAAAAGAAAAGCAAACTCGAAACTGGAATATTCTTCTCATAGGCAAACAAAGAAAATAATATTCCCACAGGTCCCCCACATTCTGTGCTCACAGGGGAATGGAGTCCTGATGTATTTGATTCTACTTCTCTTGAGTACTACCATTATATTTTAGGCTGTGTACTGGATTACAGAAGCAGCTATAAAGAAACTCATGGGGCAGTTGAGAGTGTCAGATTATCCTAAAGGAATTGTCTTATAGGGATTAACAACGAAACTGATAACGCAATACCAGCAGCACAAGGAAAATGAATACAGTACTTTTGCCTGCTCCATACAAGCAGGAGGAATGAGATGGCAGAAGAAATTTCACACTTAGGACCTTTGCAGACTGCCAAAAATAGTGCAAATTGAGACCACTTTAAGGGTTAGGGTTAGTACTAGGGAATCATGTCAGAGAGCTCTGGTGCCACAGTAAAATACAGTTCCATGATTCCCTAACCCTAACCCTAACTCTTAAAGTGGACTCAATTTGTAATATTTCTGGCACTCTGCAAAGACCTTTAGTAGGGAGGGCTGTATCATTTCTATACTCCTCTACGGGTGCATCTGCACTATAGAAATAATTCAGTTTAAGTGCTGAGCTCCGATAGAATCTTGGGATATATAGTTTTACAAGGTCTCTTCTCTGAGAAATAATTCTGTAGGATGGAGCTACAGCAGTTAAAGTGGTGTAACTGCACTATTTCTATGTGCCCAAGTCACAAAAAGTGATGCTTCCATTTCACCCCACTCAGACTCCTGCATCCTGATGGGTGAAACATTTTAAGGAGTGAAGCATTTATTTATTTATTTATTTATTTATTCATTTATTTATTTAAAATAAAATTAAAAACAAATAAATATTTGTACAGTGTAGATGCACCCATATTGTTGATGTGTGCCTTCAAGTTGTTTCTGAATTATGGTTTTCTGAGCAAGACTTTTTTCAGAGGAGGTTTGCAATTGCCTTTCCCTGAGGCTGAGACAGAGTGACTTGCCCAAAGCCACCCAGTGGGTTTCATGGCCAAGCAGGGAATCGAACCCTGGTCTCCAGAGTCATAGTCCAACATTCAAACCACTGTACAATAGTTAAGGGGAAAAGCTCTCCCTGCAAATAGAAAACTAGCACACAGTGAATGGGCTGAGCTGGAACCTTTCCACCAACCCTATACTAGATTTCTAATTACAGAGAGGCTATTACTGGACCCTCTCTCCATATATATAGTTTTAAAAGCATATATATGTGTCCCCACAACTTTGAAGGGTACTGTCTATTTTTTCCATATTATGAGACTTGTGTTCCATAAAACTGATGATCATTTGTTGGCTTCTCCTGAAAGCTTTCCAACTTGTCTCACTCCTTAAAATGTTGCACTCATCAGGATGCAGGAGTCTCAATGGGATGAAATGGAAGCATCACTTTTTGTGACCTGGGCACACACACACACACACACACACAGTAATATTACATGGCTGACTTGTGTGTATTGACTACAATCTTGTGGTTGACTACAATCCTATAACTATAATCCTGAGATTATTTTTATTTGTTCCACTTTCAAGTTAGGTATCCACAATACAAACGCCTATACATTTGATTCACATACACATGCAAGCACACAGCCTCTAAATGTAGAATTCTGCATTTAGTATCTGTTGTATCTGTTGAATTTGTATCTGTTGAATTTAACTCTCTAAGTTTCAGTTTGTTTTTTATTTTCCATTTTAACAATCCCATTATCGATGTGAAGTTGTAGGTTTTCATGGCTGGCATCCATAGTTTTTTGTGGTTTTTTCGGGCTGTGTGGCCATATTCTAGAAGAGTTTCTTTCGATGTTTCACCAGCATTGCTGGCGAAACATCAGAAACAAACTCTTCTAGAACATGGCCACACAGCCTGAAAAACCCACAAAAAACAATCCCATTATCTCCAATAAGAAGATGACAATTCTGTCCAAATCCATCACAAAAACAATATTGCAACCAACTCCCTCCAATCTGATTGAGTTTGCTGAGTATCAGACAAAGGCTAATGCAGAATAAATGTACATGGAATAGAACAGATAGTATAACAGGGAAGGAGCAGGAATCATGCAGATCCCCTCCAATGTTGAAATGCAAACCCAGTATAACTCACAATTGTCTATGATGGTCAGGGATGATGGGTGCTTTAGTCCAAACAACATCTAGCTCTAGTCCTATAACAGAAAATCTAGCAGTATGTAAAGTGTGGTAGTGTGGAATTCTAAAATACACACTGGATCATTATATAAATGTTCCCGTTTTCAACTGTGAAATGGAGGAGGACAAGGTCTTGAGCAGAACTCCACACGTCACTTGTAAATTGTAGCAAATATTGTAAATATTTTAGTGTTTCCCACCAGCCACATTATGAAATGCTTTCAGGTTATCCCATCTGGGCCACAGCAGTTCTAACAGAACCATTTCATCAGGCTTCACATCCCTCAGTTCACCTAAGACAGAGCTTTTTAGAAGACATAATGTTTTGGCTGGTCAATAAAAACTGAGCCTTCAATAACCTGCATAAATACACTGACTAGCCCATCAGTAGCAATTTTTTAATTCTCAGAGCCACATAAAAATTTTAAGGCAAGTATTCCCTAATGGGGTCATCCTAATAGGGCAAGACCATTAGGAATGAAGGTGACCAAATGCAATGGAGGACAGAGTGCCTTACATGTTTAACTTTCATTACCAGGAAAAGCCATTTGATTTTTCAAGGGTGAGGTTGAAGCTGCGCTGCAGAATACAGACAGAACTAGACCTACAAGACAGCATTCTATACTTATCATCTGAACAGTTGTAAACAACATCCCCAAATTTCAGCCATTTGCCATTTATGGTTTTTGTCCTACAAATAAAAACCTGTGGGATGAAAACTGTCCTAAGAAAATATATTGATTTTTGCTTTAGTATGTTTTTTGTCCCAGCCAATATAATGTATTATGATTATGATAAAAAAAGGTCCATCCTGTTTTTCAGAAAACTCTGGATGTCCCACAATACAAGAAGTGTATTGTGTACAAGAAGTGTACATGACATCCTTTCAGATATGTAAGGACAGCTATAATGACGCTTCTCAGTCTTCTCTTCTCCAAACTAAACATATGCAGTTTTCTCAGTCATTCCTCATGGGGCCTGCTTTCCAGACCTTTGATCATCTTGGTTGCCCTCCTCTGGGTATATTCCTGGTTGCCTTCCTCTGGGTATGTTCCAGCTTGTCATTTTCCTTCTTGCCCTGTGCTGCTCCTGGACACCATATTCCAGATGAAGTCGGACCATATTCCAGATGAGTCTGACATGATAATCCTGCCCATACAGCCTGAAATAGCATTGCCTTTTTTGGCCACTTCATCTCACTATTGACTCATGTGTATGCCACCTCACACTTTCAGATTGTGGGTGTTTGGGTGGGATATACTTGATTCTGCACACAGAAACCGTCCTTTGATCATGGAATATTTTGTACCTCACTCCAGACTGTAATTCTTATCTGGGCCTGCATCTACAATGCAGAATTCATAAAGTTTGACACATGTTTTAGCCATGCTATGCAATTCTGGGATTTATAGTTTTGTGAGACAGCCTTCTCTGTCAGAGAACTGTGGTGGCAGAACAAACTACAATTCCCAGGGTTCCATAACACAGAGCCATGACATTTAAAGCAGTGTCAAACTGTATTAAATCTGCAGTGTGGCAACACCTGGATCAAAAATAAAATACCAATAAGTCATATACAGAAAGTTAAAGAAAACAAATCCTCATACTTGAGGATTATCAAGTGTGTAGAAAAAGGAAAGTGTGCCTCGTCCTATGGGGCTGAGAAAAGCCATACTGGACAACATTCCCTCCCCTTTCTGTGCCTTCTTTGCATCTGAGCACATGCTCAGCAATGATGTGACACACCTGCTGCCATAAGCATGCCTGGTACTGGCTGCAAGCCAACTGTGATGCAATGAAGTTGTGATATATGGGTGTGTTGGCTGCACTCTGGGCTGGGCTATACTAGAAGACAGTTCCACCCAATTACATCAGCAGAACACAGGTCTCATAATGTGGACAGTTGTTTGCTGACCGAAACTGCTAATAGCTCTGCCGCATTCTTCAGCATACTCTAAACATGTTTTATAGTGCAGCTGAATTTCCGTGTGATGCTATTGCTGGAAGAAGGAGGATGCAGTGCTGATCCTAGGTTTACCAGATTACTTCTACTCCATCCAAGCAGTCTGCCATGATCACTTCTCATATGACCCATAAATGGCTCCAAATTTCACTACTCCCAAGAAACCAGGTGATTTGGACATCTCAGTTGTTTATCCTTTTACAAAATATTGTGCTATATTTGCAATTTCGGCTTGAAGGGTTTTTTACAATGACTTTTCATGCCAGAATAAATAAACCCTCACCTAGTAAAAACATACAGAGATTTAAAGAATATTTCTACCCTGCATTAACAGACATTCAGACATCCAAATTCTGACACAGTAACACATAAAAGCCAAGCATATGCAAACATGAAGACAGTGCTATCTCCTTTCACAAAGAGGCCATAAATTCATGGCTGAAGTGGCATTTGGACTCTGGTTTAAGTCCAGAATTTGTTCCACTGCACCTCAAAACCCTAGAAAAACACAAAATACATTACAATTTCACTGTATTTTCTTATCCTTTCGATCACACCAAAACCCTAATTTTGAATCCACAAAGCAGTGGTTGTCAGCACTCCTTAGTTCTGCAGTTATTCTTCTGAATTAAACTGGAAACATCCTGGAGTGAATAGCCCTTTAAGTGAAAAAGGAGAAAACACCACAAAAAAACCATCATCACACCCTGGAACTGTGATTCCAAAAAGTGTTTCTTGACCCATACAACCATGCCTTGAATTGTTGCACAAAGAAACACAGATAGCGGCTACCTTCTAAATGCCCTCAAGTGACAAGAATATGAGAAACCTTGAAACAGCTGTTCACTGTAGTTGTTTTAAAATGTCAGAAAACAAGAGAAAGCTAGCAAACACTTTTGCCCAAAAGCAATGCTGTTAATGTCACACTGTATGGAATGAAAGCATCACCAAGGGCCCAAACTACAAATGTCCTGCAATGTTATTTTTTCAGTAATGTTTTGCAAAACAAACCTAGTCTTATGCATTCTGCAGCCCTGTGCATTATCTGTTATAAAAGTGCTGCTAAGACTGTATCACTAGTAAAGCAATTTGACATACAAGAAAGGGAACTCAAAGGCATAGAGTTCTGCCATAGTGAAGCCTGAACATCTACATCATTAGGTAATCATTCAATAGGCCATACATTTGAGGCTCCTTATGCCCAGAGTCCCTTCCCTGCGTGGAAAATATATATCCAGACATTTACACACATTCATGGAGTACAGCAGCATGTACACAACAATAGGACCAGGTGTGCTCCTATAGACAGACAGTATAAATGGATTTTATAAAAGCAAAGTCTATTTGCAATGAAATATAGCAGCACAGCACAGGAATTTCAGTCCTTTAAGTTCAAAGGATGCATACATCCAGTCAACATGAAATCATGCTTCAAGATCACAAAGCCGGAGCTTGTAAAAGCAAGCTAGGCTGTAATACCACAATCAGAAGATCCTTCGAGAAGATGTATCTCAGAATCTGCTCATTCCAGTCAAGCTTTATCAAGAGGATACTTGTTCAAATAGTAGGCTTCTCCTCTTGTCAGTGTGTAAACCTGTCAGCGATAATCTCTCTCAACTTGCTTTGTAGCCTCCAGATAGACAAGATCAGAGAAGGGGGACTGGGTCTTGTCATGGCTGGCTGATGTCAGCATGTTGCATCCAGGAAAACAGTAGCATTCATGTTTGCCCCATGTATAGCCAACATCTTGGGTGTTTCCTAACCCTAGGGATGGAATATGCAACTTTCTGCATGCAAAGCATGTAACCTTCCATTGTGTTATGGCCCCTCAGCTAAAACGGTCAGCAGAGCAACAGCTAATAGCTGGAACCTTCTTGGTGCACTACTTTAGCTGTTGTACACTTTCCAGGGTCACACAGCTATGGTGAGAGAAAACTGACACCACACCAGC